TTTGGAAGCAGCCCATTGTGTTTATTCTGATTTTGTTAATTGCTATCTCACATCTTAATTGTTACGTCAAGCGCAAAATAAACAGAATTCAATAGAATAAAGAAGACAGAAGAAAATATGCTTTGAAATAGAGCACATAATATTACAGTATTCAATTATTTTATTTATACTTATATTAGTTATAAAAAAAGAAATATCGGAAACCGGTCCCTCGGATGAGACCCTATAATAAGACGCGTGAATTTAGAATTTTTTTCCTTAGTGTGTGTGGAGAGGGGGGTCTACCTGAATTTTAAAAAAATCCAAAAAAAAAAAAATCTTTTCCATACGTGGAAAACTTGGGGGGGGGGGGGGGGGGGGGGGGGGAGAGACGTTTAAATACTTTTAAAGCATATATAAACTATGACTGTTCATACCAACTTAACAAAGATTTGGGGAGGGGTCTGTGTTTTCAAAGGGGAAGGATACGCTAGATGGTCACATTTCCTTCGTTATTTATTATCTTTTAATTAAAACAAAAATTAAAGAATAATCAAATGGGCTGGGATGTATGGAGTCTGAAAATGGACTTCGTTGTAAAGTATAGAACTTTTGTAGCTTCCTTGTTTGGGGTATTCATTTCTTCTTTGTGTGTGTGTGGTATACGGTCTCGAATGGACAGGGTGCGAAATATCATTACACCGTCAGTGCTAAAAGCGGTAAGTCCAATCAGTTGGTGAGTTGCAATATCAAACTCAAGAAACTGAGCATTTAGGGTAGATTTCTTTTTTATTTTATTTATCTCAACATGTTCAATGTGAATTTATGAAGAAAAAAATAGAGACTGACTATTATTTATCATGTTTATAGAATCTACACATATTTTCGAACTGTTTTCAGATAAAACGAAAGTAGAATCATTCTAAGAATGTTTTGCTTTATAAAAAATATTGTTTCCCTGTTTAAAATTATTGATTTAATCCTGGTTATGTTTATCATAAGAAGGGTTATTTGAGTACAGACATATAATATTACACTATCAGAATAAAATTATATTTAAAATCATGACAAGATAATTATATTTTAATAAATGTTATAATAAATCTCAAATTAGGGGGCCTTATTCTTGAAAAAAAAAACCCAGCCCTGTTCATGTACATACATGTACAAGTCCTAAATTTTAAATATCTGCGTCAAAAATATAACATTTACATTACCGGTATACTTGTTTAAAAAAAAAGTCTTGTTTTCTGCATATAACATATTGTATAAAGTGAACGAATGGTAATCTATAGCATTCAAAACACAATCACATGGACAGGGTGACAAAAGGTTAAAACATGCATTTTAGTTTGATGTCACAATCATTAAACGCCTATGAAGTGCAAAGTAATTATTTGATTTTAACACTGATTATATTCCTTATACTAGCACATGTCCTGATCGGCCATATTTCCGAGAAATCGCCCATTTTGATGTTTATTTTCTTGATATTTAATTATGGAATGAAGCTAATTTCAACTTATATTATACGATATAACATAACTTGGGGCAGTTTACGCTTTATAAACCGCGAAGCGGTTTATAAAAAAGCGTTAACTGCCCCAAGTTATGTTATATCGTATAATATATTATATAAGTTGAAATTAGCTTCATTCCTTATAATTTAATTTCATGCATACAATGAGATAATTTTCTCCCCAGAATAATGCTCCACAATGATTTAGTTTTGAAAGTAACGTCAAGCGGAGTAATACGTTTTTTGACGTAACTCATTGTGACGTAGGCAAGTTATGTTATCCAAAATGGATAAAAGATTTTATCCAATCAAATGGCGTGTTACAAGTAAAATTAAATTGTATCAAATTAGAATATATGCCTAAAAAGTTATTAAAAGTCCATTCCTATACATAAAAGGAAAAAATGACATTTATCAGAAAACAGGCTTTTTACTTGGATGAAAAACTTGTAGTGTTGTGCGTGATGTTTTGGGTAAATAAACATGGCAATGAAGGAGTTGCCTATCCCATTAGTATATGTTTCTGATGTAACCAATGAATCATTATTATTTGAAAAATATAGTCTCATATAAATGTGCATTGCTCAATTTGTTTGCACACACTGTTGCAGTTATGAAACTAAGGGTATATCTTTAAAAAAGATAATGATTAATATTTAACATGTTTAAATTTTAGGTTCAGTTCAGGATGAATTCTGCTTATGAAGTAATGAAGGGAAGGCCATGGAAAGCTGTTAACTTTGATTGGGATTTTTCAGTCAGTAATAAAGGACTTAAGAGAGGAATAGCAATTATACAAGAGAGGAACAGTTTTATTAGAATGTTGGAAGATTTAAAGTTTCAAATTTATCCATTTGACCAAGAAGATGTAAAGTTGACAAGAAATTTATCCAAGTCTGAATTTTTAGATGAACTGAAGGAATGTAAGTCAATGTTTCACTGTTTATTTTAATTCACTATACACTGTTTATATCAAACATGTATCCAAACATCAAAGTAGAAACGATTCAGCCAGATCTAGAGATATATCTAATGCATAAAGGGAAATTTTCGTCCCTCATTTTATTTTCTTTTTTTTATACTGATCTTAATAAATTCATGCTTTATGCATTGATAATGTGATATAAGAAGTTTTTAAGTGTTTCTTGAATATGTTTTAGTTAAGAGACTTTGCTGTGATGGCTCGTGTGGATGCCTTTTGGTGACAGTGTCCTCCCATGGAGTCATTCTACCGCAAGATGAACAAAGAGACAGACAGACAAACAATTTGGAAACCCAAGACAAACAAACAGATAATGTGGTAACATACGAGGATTACGTCTTGACACACCCAGAACCAGACAAAACCGAATTCTCACCAAATTTTGAAGATGAACGCGTCTCAGTGCGGGAAATAGTTGAAATATTCAGAGATCCAGATTTAAAAGGAATACCAAAAATATTCTTTATTCAGGTACAGATGCACTTAAAGATTTTAACTTGTAGGTATAACACCAAATTTCTGTGACAACATAATTTTGGGGGAATGTTAAATTGCTATAAGCAAGGCTAAATTTCCTCCAATTAAAGTTATAATTGTCTGATTTCTATATGATTTCTTGTTAGCTCAACTAGTCAGAGACCAGAAGAGCTTATGCGATAGTAATGCGTCCGGCGTCCGTCCATCTGTCTGTCCATATGATTGTCTGTCTGTCTGTAAACAATTTTTTAAAATGCTAGTACTCCTCCTACAGTTTTGGTGGGATTTCCATATAACTTAGCACACAAGTAGACTACACTAAGATACATAATTCTGTCTATCGGTTTTTGATTTGGATGTACGGTGTTGCCGTGGTTACTAAAAATAGAAATTTCTGTGAAATTCTTTCAAAATGCTACTTGTCCTACAATTTTGGTCTGATTTCAATATAACTTGGCACACAAGTAGACTACACTAAGATATATAACTTTATATATCGGTTTTTGATTTACCATTTTAGATGAACGGTGTTGCCATGGTTACTAAAAAAAGAAATCTCTGTGAAATTCTTTCAAAATGCTACTCCTCCTACAGTTTTGGTTTGATTTCAATATAACTTGGCACACATGTAGACTACACTAAGATACACAATTCTGCATATCAGTTTTTGACTTCGATGAACATTATTGCCTTGGTTTCTAAAAATAGAAATTTCTGTTAAATACTCTCAAAATGCTACTCCAAATAAGTTTTAGTCTGATAATAATATAACATGGCATGCAAGTAGACTACACTAAGAACATAAAGAGACTTAATCAAGGAGCATTATTCTATTTATTGCTGTTGTAAAGTCTCAATTCCAAACTGCTTAAGTATTTTTCTCTCCCTTTGCTACAAGTACAAAATAGTAGAGCTTCAGACTCGACAGGGACTTCTGGTTTTTACTTTAGAAATCAGAAATTTCTTTGTAGGCATGTAGAGATGACTCAAAACAAATTACGGGAAATTCAGGGGTAGATGAAGGTGTGCAACTTTTTGTTGGAGATGAAAACAGTGTGTCGGGCAAGTTTTAATATCATTACATCATGTTTTTCTGTAGTTTTAAATTCATTGATCAACTGGTCAAAGACAAAGAGAGCTTATTTTTATACCCCCTTCGAAGAAGTGACGGCATATTGCTTTGCTATTGTCTGTTGGTCTGCCAAGTTTCCTGCAGCTTTCATTTTCTTCGAAGCAGTTGCACATACTGAAATGAAATTTAGTATTCAGATTATCATTAGAATATCTAGTTAGAGTTCTCTTTTGGGTACGATGGAGCCATTTTTGACAAAGTTGTGCCACTTGGACTTTAAAAATTCAATTGCTTGCAGTTTCCATTCATTTTCTTGGCAGCGAATGCACATACTGAAATGAAATTTGGTGTACAGATTTATCTTAGAAATATCTACCTCAATTTCTCTTTTGGTACAATGGAGCCATTTTTGACAGAGGTATGCCCCTTGGACTTAATTTTTCTCAGAAATTTGCTACACTAAGAGTTCCATTTCACTAAATAAATCTCCGTTTCTTTTAATTTAAAGTCTTTAGGCTTTCTGGAATGCTGTGTCATTTATCACATATTGCCTGTCCCTGTCCTTTAATCTTGTTACTAGCCTTCTGATAAGCATCCTAGAAAGCTTATATTCTTTTGGAAAATATATTTTGTCAACTACTGAATGAATATTGGCGATATGCATTGAAAAAAAAAAACAGCTTTACAATTCAGTACTAAGTGGATAAGTTAAATTCATTTCGAAAAATGTTCAAATTATGACATTCGTGTTTATAGCACAATAAATCAAGGTTAGACCATGATTTCCTCGACGTTTTCACATGGAACAAAAATGCAGGATTTGATGCTTAAAATGATATATATTTTGTAGAAGTACGATAGGTAAGATAAATAATAAGAATTAAAAATGTAACGTATATCATGAAACACCCTGTACTTAAAACAAATTACAATAAATTATACATGTACTCGTGTATACAATATTAAACAATGCCATTGATAAATTTTTAGATAGAAATATTTTAAGCGATAAAACATCTAATTATAAACTGTTGAAAGTTTTCATAACATTTTACTAAATTACATATTTGACTTAAAATACATAAATCGATGTAATCTTTATAATCAATAACATTTTAATAAAAACATTTTTTATTAACGAAGAAATTTTTGGTTAATGCAATGCATGCACAAATTTGCTTAAAATTTATCTTCTTTAACAGATGTACAGTATGTCTATGAGATTTTCTCCAGTCTCACTGAAATCTAATCTTTCAGGTATTTCATCAGTTGAAATTCCACGGACCCCATCTGAGAACCAAATTGTATACTCACCTCCCTGCATTGATGATAGTGTCATAGTGTTCTCAACTCCATTTGGTAAGAAGAAAAAAAATGTGAGATATAGAGACTGCATAGTTGGTATGCATACTCTACTGATTAGGCTCTTTCAAATGACACCAAGGTCAATGACCTTGTTACTTTGACTGTGACCTATATGCTAAAAATAGCTTGGTTGCTGCGGGGCACATAGTGTTTCACAAACACATCTTGAATGTTTTTCAGCTTACCTGAGCCAAGCTTTTCTGATCAAAATTTGTACCTTGTCTGTCATCGTCGTTGGCCTTATTGGCCATGTCATCGTTGTCATAAACTTTTCACCTTTTCATCTTCTTAAGAACCACTGGGCCAATTTCATTTAAACTTGCCACAAAGTATCCTAAGGTAAAGGGGATTCAAGTTTGTTCAAATAAAGGGCCATGCCCTCTTTTTCCAAGGGGAGATAATTATGAATTAGTGAAAAAATAATGGCATCTTTCAAAAATCTTCTTCTTAAGAACCACAGGGTCAGGAGAGATGAAACTCACGTGAAAACATTCTTAGATAGTGTAGATTCAAGTTTGTTCAAATCATGACCCCAATAGGTACGGTGGGGCCACAATGGCTGATCAAATTTTAATATAGGAATATATAGGTAAAATCTTCAAAAATATTCTTCTCAAGAACCACTGGGCCAGGAAAAATGAAACTCAAGTGGAAGCATCCTCTAGAAGTGTAAATTCAGATTTGTTCAAATCATATCCCCCAGTGTTGGGTGGGGCCAAAATGGGGTGCAGTTGTATTTAAGTTTAACATAGAAATACATAGGAAAAATCTTCTTCTCTTTGTCTTATATAGAAGCATCCTCTGGTAGCGTAGATTAAAGTTTGTTCAAATCAAGACCCTAAGGGTTAGGGTGGGGTGACTGGGGCCAAAATGGGTATCAAAATTTAACATTGGAATACATATGAATTTTTTTTAATCTTCTTCTCAATAACAGCAAAGCTATGATTGGTAACAGTTATAAGAAAGCATCCTCAGGTAGTGTAGATTCAAATTTGTTCAAATCATGAACCCTGGAGCAAGGATGGAGCCATTGTGGGTGATCAGAGTTTTAAGAAGGATAACATAGGGAAAATCTTTAAAATTCTTCTTCTTGAGAACAAGATAGCTGTGATTATTCATATTTATATGGAAGCATCCTCAGGTCAGGAAGATTCAGGTTTGATGATATCTTGACCCCTGGGGGTGGAGTGTGGCCACAGTGGGTGATCTTGGTTTTTAAAAGTATGAATACATAGGAAAAATCATTAAAATTCTTCACAAGAACAACAAATGCATGATTGATCATTAATATAAAAGCATCAAAATAAGTATAGATTTAAGTTTGTTCAAATCATGATCAACCAGCAGGGTAGGGGAGTCATTACAGTGAATCATAGTTAAACAAAGGAATATAAGGGTTTTATCGATAAAAAAAATTCACCTTATAAACAACAAAGCCATTATGTATCAGATTAATTTAAAAGCATCCGTAGGTTGCTCAGGTGAGTGATGTGGCCCCTGGGCCTCTAGTTTTTTATACCTTGGTTCCAAATTGTATGCATTAAATTACAGTCCTTATTTTTTCAGGCTATGCAGCAGGATTTAATACTGTGAGGGGAAGCCATGTTTGGAGCGATCTTTCCAAAAAATTTAAGGAATTTAAAAAGGATCAGAGGTGTGTAAAACTTCTGGACTTATTGAGGGAAACCAACTGGAAGCTATCTCAATCTGAGAACACTATCGAGGGTGTTGTATATAAACCATTGCTCAGTATCTGTCATACACTTACAAGACACATTGTATTTGACAGGACAGCTGATTAAAAAAACATAGTTTTCACTATATAGTTTTTTATATTCCCACATAGATTTTTTTGGTAAAAGACAATGTTTTTACAGATATAGGACCAAACAAAGGGAGGAGCATTTTTTTCAATTTTGATATCACAGAACTGGCTATGACACCTATGTTAATTCAACATCAAAATTACTGGCCCATGTACATCACATCCAGAGTCAATGCCAACTGTCTTTTCAACTAAGCATGATGCCTAAATTTGTAAGACTTGCATTGGCAAAGGAAAAATAAGAAATTCTCTAGGTCTAAATTTTTACTGAACAAATGTTGGTGTTATTCATGCATTGTAATACAGTTAAACTTTGTTATCTTGAACATACTAAAATGTTACTATAAGTTACATAGGCATCTCAAATATCACGGACACGTCGCAGTGATTAAAACGTCCAAACTACATTTTCATTGTTTACCTTTATTATCCCCTCGCGCAACTTGTTGCGGAGGGGATATAGCATCGCGAATGTGTGTATGTGTTAGTGTGTTTGTGTGTTAGTGTGCTAGTTACACCTTGTGGGCAAGATTGACAGAAAACCTTTGCATTAACCATTCTCATCGTTTACATACTTGAGTGTTAGTATAAGAGGACGAAGCCTATTCATTTTCAAATCATTGATGAGATATTACTTCAGATATCGCGTTTTTACTGCCTCGAAACCCTGACATTTTATATACGAGTTGACAATAATCATTTGTGGGCAAGATTGACAGAGAACCTTTGCATTAACCAATCTTAGCGTTTACATACTCGTGTGACAGTATAAAAAGATGAAGCCTATTCATTTTCAAGTTCATTGATGAAATATTTCTTTGGATATCGCGTTTTCACTGTCTCGAAACCCTGACATTTTATATACGAGTTGACAATAATCATTTGTGGGCAAGATTGACAGAGAACCTTTGCATTAATCAATCTTAGCGTTTACATACTCGTGTGGCAGTATAAAAAGATGAAGCCTATTCATTTTCAAGTTCATTGATGAAATATTTCTTCGGATATCGCGTTTTCACTGTCTCGAAACCCTGACATGTTTAAAAGCCAGTTTTAAAGATTAAAAGGCGTGCCGAGTCTGCGGGAACCAGATTAAAAGAGTTTGATGAACGTTGCGGTTCCATTACCGAAGACCAAAAGGTGTCTAGGAATTTGGGATGCACGTTTTTCCTGAAAGCTGTAAATACAATCCACAAGTTCAATTAACCTCTCGATGTACATATTGTGTTATTTTTCATTACGAGAAAAAAATGCATATTGCTTGGAACTGTGAGATAAACTTAGGTTGGCAAATAATTCAAATTACTGAAACATACATATAGCATACGTGATATGTTTCTGCTGTGGTATAAGGGAAACTGCCAAATTACGTATATATATTATTATTATGCCCCCCTCCCCACTACAATGCTATGCAATTTCATTTTGTTAAATAAAGACACTCCACCCCCGATGAAACGATTTAATATCCTATACTAAACTTTACTACCCCTTAGGTAACCATGTTATGCCCCCTCCCCTTAACCAAGACGCTATGCACTTTGTCTTTTGTAAAAACTGGAACAACAACACCAACCGACTAATAATTTTGTCAAAAGTAAGGGAGTTGATCATAATGTTTTGGTTTTGAATCCCTTTGTGGGACGTGGAGACTGGTCCTTTGAATGAGACCGTGTAAACCAAAGGCCCATGTCCCAATAGATGCTGGCACAAAAAGATTCCTCACTGCTCAATAGTCGTCAATTCCTATTATAGGAAAGAATGTGCAGCTCTCCACCGGCAATCCTTCATATGAGCAAAAAATTCGTGGGAGGGACATAAAACAAAACACAATTTACTATTTTAACGTCCCTCAAGAGAATTTATTTCTTATGAGATATTGCCATTACCAGTAAAGTTCCTGTCGCGAGGGGATGCTCCGCTTAGCGGTGCCCTTGTTTCCCTTATCTTTGTATATGCTTAAGCTTTCTCTTGGTCTTATCAAGTTTGAAAGAAAAGAAAATTTTGGCAGCACAAAATGCAGCCATACAAAATCATTTAGAACTTTATGTCTTGCACTGTGTGGGTGACTTTAACCATTGTTGATGTTTTTATGACTTTTTTTATTAATATGGAAACTGACAGGACACCCAAAGTACCTACCACAAGGTATGACAGATATACTTAGTCAGATGCTGTGTGATATTATACAACTGGTATGTTTCCCATTGTTTTGTTTTCTTTTATTTTAAAGGCGGTAATGTCCTGATGCTTAAATTCATACTCTTTGTCCATCCACAATTAATGTGATAACCATTTTAGATTGACATTTTATACCTGTCATATATCATGCTTTTTAATTGAAGTTGATTAACTTTGTCATATATTATATGCATTCAGAATTCTTTATGTTTATAAATAAATTTGCTGAAATTCTAGTGTACCTATGTTAATCAATATTTTTTTTTATTTCATACTATGATATAACTTCGTGTATATATGATGAAATAATTTTATTTCTAGTTGATTTCTTTGTGATAACTCTTTGAAGGTTAGTGGAGTTGATCTTTATCATTTTACTGGATTGTTATTTTCATCAAGGGCAGATAATGAGACCTAATATGGATATAAATCGTGTGTGTTTTTATGTCTGATGCTAACAGCTCTGGGCGGCCTCCGTTTTTGGAGGATAGCTAGATTCAAAATGGCGGCCAAATTTTTACCTGTATGGAAACCTAACCAAGGAGGCCTAATATGCATGGAAATCTTGTGAAGCTGTCTTTGTGTTTGATGTCAGCGGGCGGTGTCTATTAAAATTTAATTTCAATTTTTAAATAACTTTAAATCTATCAGTCTACATTTTTAGATTTTCAAAAATAAGGAATCACTGTTTAGTAGCGTATGCCAGGGACATAATCGATAGATGGAAAGGTGAAATGATTTATGCATAACAGGCTTCGCCTGTTATGCAAATTATCCCACGTTTCCAACTATCGTTGATGTCCTTTGCATACTCTGCTAACTAGACAGTGATCCTTAAATATTGTTTGGTTGCCCTTTCCTGACCGACTGGCAAAAAATGGTTCAGAACTTCTTAACATCCAGGAAGCATTTTTTTAGCATTCTATAGAAATAGATTTTACAATTTTAGCATTGAAGCTATTTTATTGTTTGAAAAAAAATCTTGTCTCTTTACCTCTTTACTGACCTAATGTTTTCATCCTAAGTCAGGAGAGGGCAAACAAGCATTATTTTAAATTCAGTCTATCTAGTTTTTTTATTTTGAGCTTTGACCCAGTTTTATAGCTGAATCAATTTTCAGCACATATCCTACATTGTATGTTCTTTTGTATAAATTGGTATCAAAGTATCGCTTTTGTCTATTTTGGGCTTTACAAATATTTTCTCTTGCAATTTGATGATATTCTGTAATATTATACCTCAAATCTTGAAAGTATTCATGAATTTCTTTCTCAGAGTTATTCAGGTTGTATGTACCTAGTATCAAATCTATAAGTTGGGTCGTCTCCCTTCCTAAAAACATAAAGTTTGGTGTAAACTGAGTTTGTCTATTTTCAGTAGCTCCATTAGCACCTGCAATTTGTTGTAAATTGAGGTCCCATTCATGTTTGTCTTTTAAATAACATCGCATACTCTGTAGTACTACACGGTTGTATCTTTCAACTTGACCGTTAGACTGGGGATGGCATGGTGTTGTCCTAGTTTTAGCTATTTTTGCAGAAGTAAAACATCAAAAGTTTTACCCTGGTCAGAATGTAACTCTGTAGGGCAACCGAGATATAAAATTATCAACTACAGCTTTAGCTACTGTTTCAGAATTTTGGTTTGGTATTGGGACAATTTCTAACCATTTAGTAAATTGATCAATGATCATCAAGATGAATTTATTTCCATTTTGGGTTACAGGAGGAGGCCCTAGTATGTCAATGTGTACACGATGAAGAGGATAACCTGCATGATATTGACCTAGAGCAGCCTTAGCTTTGATGTTAAGCTTTTTATTTTTGTTACATACACTACAACTTTCAACATAAAGTTTAAAGTCTTGTGACATACCATACCAAATTGAGCATTGTTCCGATCTTTCATAAGTCTTGGTTTGACCAAAATGCTGTGCTGTTTTGCAGTCATGACAAAGTTTCAATATTTCCGGTTGGTTATTTTTTGGAGCTACAAACAAATATCTTGGATTTTCCCATAAGTAATATAGAAGACCATCTTTTTGGTGTAACTGAGATTCACCTGACCAAAGATATCTAACACTGGGACTACTTAATGATAACTCTTTCTGAGATGGTTTTATCCCAGACTCTATCCAGGTCTACTCCTACAAGTAAGAGCCTCGGTTAACGTCCCTACGCTCCTAATATACCTCGGTTACGCGGCGCCAAGTCAAAAGTATCTCGCCGTGAACCTCTAGCATGCTGGAGTATATCCAGGTCTTGACCTTGTAAATATCACTATCTTCATTAGCAATACTGTCAACTGATCTTATTGTTAAAGGGGTAACATATTCTATATCATTCTCGAAAGAGACCCACTGTTGTTTTGCTCGAGTGCAAAAATGTCACCCAGCACAAGGTAATTGACTCAGTTCTATTCCAAGTCTCTATTCATTACAAAGAACTACACTATCTGGTATTCTGGAAAGACCATCTGCATTACTGTGGTTTTTCCCTGGTCTATGTTGTAAAATGATGTTATATTGTGACAATTCCTCAATCCATTTTGCTAGTTGACCTTCAATATTTTTGAAATTTAAAAGCCATATCAAACTATTGTGGTCGGTTTTTAGAATAAAGGTATTACCCAACAAAAAATGTCTGAACTGTCTTGTAAATGTAATAATTGCCAAGAGTTCTTTTGAGTGGTACAATATTTTCTTTGAGCTGGTGTTAATACCTTGCTAGCAAGACTTACAATTTGTTCTTTACCATTTTGTATTTGACATAATTCAGCACCAATTGAATTATCTGATGCATCTGTGTCTAAA